GTTAAATCTTTCACTTGGATATGCATCAATTATTAATAATATTCTGACCTTTGTCTCTTTCGTCGTTTTCGTGTTTTTCATGTTCTTGCACGTGCCACGAACCTATGCACATGCGTGTTGTGTTAATTAAACGGCTTTTTTAGTATTTTACGGAATCGATCGATATGTTAACTCACCTCGACTGTTATTATCCGTCAATACACAGAAGTGAAGAGTTTATATTGTATTCAAGGTTGTTTTCAGCATTTCACAGCCCACCACTGTTGTCCTCTGTCGTCATAATATTCAGGTTAGATGAATTTGGAGAAATTTTTGACAATGGTTTGGTAAAATTGGTATTTAGAGATTTGTTTTTGGAAATTTGTTGGTCAAGATTTGTTTTGTGCTGTTTGTTTCTGATGACATATAAATGTAATTTTTTTTATTTTCTAAGTTATCTTTGAATTAAAAAAACAACTGAAATAAACAAAGATACAAAGATACAATTTACAAATCTTAGTTTCAGTATACAAATGTCGTAATACGACAACAGATGAAGAAATAAAAATTAAAGACTATGAATTAAGAACGCTTAATAAAGAGCTGTTGGTTTTTCATAGAAATACACGTTTATTGAATGAAATTCTGTCAATGAAGCATAACGGTTTACCCGGGGCCAGGTCTACAGGGGGGCGCGGAGTGGGGGCATGCCCCCCCCCCCTGCGTTAAATGCTCGCCCCCCCCCCCGCTCAGAAATTGCTAACAATCATTAAAGTATACACAGTTCCTTATATTAACCTAAAAAAAAACTACGCTTCCCTAAGCAGGAGGAGGTATAATTCAGGCGACAAATGAATTGCGCGCTAAACTACAAACGAAAGACTAGGTAGCTCGGGGCCTAAAATAACGTGCCTTGGAGCACGAACGTGCTTCGAAATGAAAAATCCGTGCTTCGAAAATAAGAAAACAGTGCTCTGAAAGAAATGGCGTAAGACTCTGAAAAAGTGTAAGGTAGCGATGCCTCCTGACCCCTAATGAGTGTTCCTCTTGTGTTGGTCAGTTGCGAAGGTCAGATCAGATCAGTTGGCGCCCGATCGACTCCCTCGGATGAGTCGAGTGAGCGCCAGCCGCATCCGCTCACTAGTCAGGTTTTCAGTAGGTTTGGTATCTGATCCGCTGCGTTCTTCACCGCCATTTCACTTTCACTTTATTTTTGACATAATTTTCACTAATTTTCGGTATTATCTGTGATCTTAAGTATTGAAATAAAGATGGGAAACCGGAGCTTAATCCACCGGACACAGAATCCGTGCTACAAGAATTTAACCTTATTTTAGGCCTTGAGGTAGCTAATAACATAATCAAGGGAGATAACTCTGCCGATACCGTTTTAGACCACGTTGTCACAAACACTACATACATTATTATTGACACTAAAAAAACAGGTAAAATAATTGTTTTGTCCAAGGAGTTTGGAAATATAGATTGGTCCGAACTGATGGATAAATATATTACGGGAGCGAAAAAAATATTAACATTTACCAGTACTGAGTACTGACAAAGTAAAGTGCGACTCGAAACAAAAATTTAGCGGTATTTATTTAAAACGCTATGCTATCAGTATGCGCATATTAATCCCACGGTATCTCATTACTATATAAACCATTTTTTTTTGTACTAATCTAAAATAGTTTTAAATAAATTTAAAAAATCATTACTTTTTTTGTTTGAATACTTATTTTAAAATGCTTATTAGACGCCTAGGTAACTACATAGCATGATCATTACAACAGTCTGTTAGAATGACCTTTCCGAAAATTTCCTCAAAATGTTCGCCCCCCTACCGAAAGGTAATGCCCCCCCCCCCCGCGCTTAATGGTGTCTAGATACGGGCCCGGGTTTACCGCCTATTCACTGCGTTAAAAACTGTAAAATCTTTAAATTGTTATTGATATTTTTCACAGTGTAAGCTGCACAATTATGACCTATCATGTGCCAGTCTCTCATGCACTGATGAAAAATACATGCACATACATAGCCTCTACAGAGTATTGCCTATCGCATTGTATACGATCGTCATTGGTTACCAACAGTCTATCGTATTAAATTTAAAGTTCTGCACAGTACATATCAAATATACATTAAGATCATCATCAATTTTCAATTATACAGATATAAAATTAAAGAATATTGTACAAATCTGTTGCACACTCTTCTATTGTAACAGTCAATAAAAAGGTTGATCATATTGTATATGATTGTCATTGGTTAATTACAAGTAGTCTACCGTATTAAATTTAAAGGGTTTTTTAATTACTTCTTACATGTATGTACAATACACGGCAAATAGACATTAATCAAGTTATTTAATTATAAAACATAAACCTTGCACGTTTTTAACTTACGGAAAGAGATTATTTTATGTTAAAAAATAGTTTAAAATAGTTAAAAACATATCTTTAAAGAGGCTTTTGACTAATTATGAATTTAACTGCATTTCAATTATTTATTGATGTTTTATTTGCTTTATCTTATATGATTTATAAATTATTATTGTATTATATATTTTTATTTATCTATTTTATGCTTTTAACTTTGTATGGAATGATTGTATTGTACACGTTCAGTACCCTGGAGCGACAGTTTCTGGATGGCGCACTATATAAAAGTTATAAAATAATAATATTGTTATTATATACTATTCAAAAAAAGTAGGGGATATTTGATTTTTAAGTGTTATTAAAGTCACCTAATGAAACTGACGAAGAAACAAATGACAAAATGAAATGAAGTTCACATTCATCGATTTATTCCAAATGATCGTTAGACTAAGTAAGGCACAGACTGACCATTATAAGGGTAAAATGATACCCGGGGTCAAACAGCAAAGTTACCACAGCATCACAACCAAGTCAGTAACGGGTAAATCCTCCTCTGTTTGCCAAACAAGCATTGATCCGACGTGGCATACTCCTAATGAGACGTCTAAGGTCATTTTGGTCCAGATTGTCCCATTCCTGTTGCAACGCAGCAGCAAGTTCTTGGACATTGGCAGGACGTTGTTGACGTTGACGTAACCTCTGTCCAAGCATGTCCCAGACATGCTCGATGGGGGAGAGGTCGGGACTCAGTGCTGGCCAAGGTAATGTGGTGATGTTCTGTTGTTGGAGGTAACCTGTAACGATCCTGGCCCTGTGACATCTTGCGTTGTCATCCTGGAAGATGAAACGGCGGCCATGACGTCGTGCGAACGGCACAACATGGACTGCCAAGATGTTGTCCCGGTAGTACTGGCCTGTAACACGCCCTGCAACAACATGTAAAGCCGTTCTTCCAGCAACAGTGATGCCTCCCCACACCATAACAGAACCACCCCCAAATCGATCATGTCTGATGACGTTAACGTCTTGGAAGCGCTCGTTTCGACGACGCCACACCCTCCTACGTCTGTCCAAAAAATCAACAGTGAACCTTGACTCATCTGAAAACATCACATTGCTCCAGCGTCGATTATCCCAGTGTTGACGATCCCTACACCAACGACGTCTTGCCTGAATGTGATGATCTCTCAAACAAGGGATCACGCGAGGACGTCGGGCGCGAAGGTGACCCCTATGCAGTCGATTCCGAATCGTCTGGCCACTCACTCTCACACCAGTGTCTGTTTGAAGACGAGCGCTGATCTGATTTGCTGTGATGACACGATTTCTCAAGGCCAAGGTACGGATAAATCGATCCTGGGCTTGAGTTGTCGCCCTTGGTCGACCTGAGCGTGGTCTGTCCTGTACAAATTGTGTATCACGGTATCTGGACCATAGCCTGCTTATGACAGACTGAGAAACATTCATCGTCCGCGCCACAACCGCCTGTGTTGTGCCGATCTGTAGCATGCCAAGGGCACGTAACCTTTCATTTTGGGTAAGCCGACGCATATCAAAATTTGTTTTCTGGCCACTAAAACAATTAAACTGATGTTTCCACCCTGGAATTCAATGCCACAATGACTGTAACATTCAAAGTCAGAGTCGTGCAAATCTTGGGTTGGACCCCCATGATGATCCCAAGCATCACCTGCATTCCATGCGGTAGCTATTGGTGCGTTTGGGCGTCACATGTAACTGGAAATGTTTCTTCTGTTAGGTTCTATAGTGACTTTTTTCGTAGTCATTTGCATATTTTAGTATTATGCCTCCAAAATCAAATATCCCCTACTTTTTTTGAATAGTATAGTTGCGATCTGTTTGAAACGAAAGAATTAGCGATTATGTACTAAACGTGAGTGTATATTACCATTATTAATGATCACACATAAACGCGGCATTCTCAATCTTAATCAAATTACTCGGCTAGTACTAATTAGGAAAACAAATCGTGATTTCGCACCGCTAACGAATTTTCGCCAAGTTACTGCCCTGTAACCAAACATTTGTAAACGCTTTTAGATCATTTTTCTTACTGAGCGTTCCAAATAGGCCGAATTCTTGGGTGGAAATCCTGACACCTTCTCTCCCGCTAAACCGGTCTATAACATCGGACAATCAATAATTTTGCAATCAATATGTCAACAAAGCTCTCCAATAAAATTTGTAAATTTAATAGTTCAAGCTCGAAATAGACTAGAAATCGATGACTTATTTCTTTATAGTGCGGAGCCATATTTGAGTAGGTGTGGGTTGAATCCTGCGCAGCAATTTAAAATCTTGTGGGGTTGCGGTCAAAAGTTCTTGGGTCAAGTGCCAGGTCATAGCATTTGTAAACAAAGCCTTGTGCACGATTTACATTGCAATGAACCAAAATAAAAACATTCCATCCGTGTAGAGAAGTGGAGTAAGAGAGTCCCAAAAGATATTTTGATCACATTGACACAAAATGTGGCAGTCAGTCAGGTTATTTCGACACTGACTGACTAGGGATATTGGACGGTCGGTTTCACTGGAAAAATGCCTTCATATCAAGGGAGATTACAAGGAATACAACAATGCCACTGTTTCTATAGATGTAATTCTAATAAAATCATTCATTTTACAAAATCATTCAAATTCAAAATGGGTCTTGTCTGCAATCGCGAATGAACCAGATGGAACCCTCCCCCATCCCCATCAATATGGGGCTCACCTATGATATAGTGTACATGTAATCATCAATAAAAGAAACAAAATCTTTAAGTTGCTTTTCAATTATTGTGCTTAAGGGGATATTGTTTCGCAGCAATATTGTGTTCTGTGGATTTTGAAATTTAGAATATGTTTATAATTTAAATTAACTTGTTGGATTTGGATAAAGAAATAAAAGTGTTGATTTGCCTAAATGTTTTTTGACGTTGATCTCATATTCAAAATGAAATGAAATGAAATGGGGTTTAACGTCCTACTGTTCTGCTCCTATGCTGGGCTAATGAAGACGGGTCATATTCAAAGTGTATATCTATTTGAATTAACAAAAAGTACATGGGTGATTTGTTGTTCAAAAGTCCACAGTTCAGGTCGGTAAGGAAAGTAAAATCGGTAAATAAATGTATTTATGTTGTTTATTTAAAATCATAATTTTCTTCTCGATCTTCTCCCTAGAAATAGAAATATATACAATTTGTTTACTAAAACGAAATATCTCATTGGATATTAATATTTTTTAAATGTAAGAGAATTCCTGCCAGATGTCAGTAAACTAAAGCAGGGCAACAGTTCAAAAACTAAAACAATAAAAATTACCCCTTCCATAAAGAACCCACATGTTTGTACAAATCGATAAAATGCTTACATAAGTTTGGGCATTTGCATTACTTCAAATTACTGTCAATTGCACGGTGTCATTCTGATATGTCTGATCTAACTAAAGTAAAAATAATTGACTACCATTTGCGTATAAACAGGGTAACGATGTTATTTTTGACGTTATGGAATAAACTTTGCAATCTTTGCGATCTCTTTATGGCTATTATCGCCTTTAATAATCAATCTTCTGGTGATGTTGTACAATATATACTAAACAGCAAAAAAAAACCCAAAAAAACCAACCTCAGTACGATTTCAAAATCAGATCATTCTAGAAAACGACTTACTAAATGGATCAAAGCAATTTTTTGAGAACATTTCCTGGGTTCAATTCTGTAATTGGTAAGGAGCCTTATTGCACAGGTAAAGTTGGAGATGTGGTCGCAAATATATAATAAAAACATTTGGCAAGTTTTATGCAATGCGTCTATCCAGAGTAACATACAAACCTGGCGTTTCTTTTGCTGCTTAGTATATAACAAGTTCTGATTTCAAATGGTTAACTCTTCAACGATATTTTTTGTGTTTATAAAAGCAAACGCAGGGTCTAGGTTCTAAGAAAGTGAGCAAATAATATGATTAAATAATATGCCTGTATCCCTACCTTCTATTACTTTCTGCCATTTGGCTTAACAGGTTTGTAAACAATCAATAACATCACAATCACTGCAACTATAAAAATCACAATGTATACACTAAAACACGAGAACGTCAAAATAAAAGATAAAAGTTGGTACACCAACGAATATTTAATACCCGTTACGGTAAAATTACACTACTTTTAAAGGAATAAGACAAAAACTAAAACATTTAATTAGAAACATAACAAATAACACCCAACTATTTGAAGAGATCTATTCCAGTTACTGATAACATGATAAAATGAGTTTTGATTGATTTGATTATACAGTCACATAACAATTGTTCCAATTAGATTCTATGAAAGATTTAGATGACATCGGTTAATTCATCGCTGAGATATGGACTTTAAACTTTTAATTTACCATTTTTAAGAAATTTTCAATACATACAATCGATAACAACAATTATACAAGATTATGCCTAGATAATGTTCACACCTGGTATTATGTATTGATCAAATCTATATGCGTCAACTGAATTTCTTCTGGAAGACCACCTTGGTATGAAAGTTTTAACTGTTTGACACTTTATGCTGTATATGGAGCGATTCACTGGAAGGACCACCTTTGATATTATTACAGCCTTTGGAGTAGCAGTATGACTAGTTGACGTTGCTAAAGCAGTAACAGTTGATGCTGTTTTTGGTTTAGCAGTAGTACTAGCTGACGTTGCTGCAGTAGTAGTAGTTGTCGTTTCTGCAGTAGTAGTAGTTGGTGCTGCTGCACTAGTACTAGTTGACGTGGGCTGTGCTGGTGGTGCTTGCGTTGCTATAATACATATATCACCAGCCTCTGATTCCTGCAGTGGAACTTGCAAAGAAAAAAAGAATAATTACCACAGCTAGTGATACCAGGTGTTCTAAATGAATAAGAGTGCGTGCATTGTGCATGACACGCGTCGCTATTATGCCATTGAAAGATATGGGCCTTTATTCAATAAAATGTTAATCTCTTAAAAAATATTTTAGTTTAGTTTTCTTTCGTGGATAAGGACCCTGCGCTTGTATGAATGAACGCTAAAATAAACACCCCCCAAACAATGAAATTGATATGGAATTGACGTGCACGATTCAATGCTGCGGTCGCACTTTAAGCATTGTTGACTGCCAATGCGGTGTTTAAAAAAGTCTCCTGCCTTCTAGTGAAGATTCCTGCGACCAGGACATCAGCTACTATCACTGAATGGGATGACATCGGTGTGCGTTAATTAGCTTGCAATATTTTTTTGTCTTCTGCAAATTAAATTCTAGAACCCTTGTAGCCAATTATCAACACCCTATGATGTGACGTCACATGTAAAAGTCATTTGAACTTATATAGGTCAGACATCTTGTATAAGAAGGCTTTTGAATTAGCACTGTAAAACAGATTGTAACAGCGCAAGGAAAAGAAACAAATCAGGAGTCTAATTATCAACAGTCACGCGACAGGGTCGCTTCTATGCGTTGCTGTTACGCCAACCATAACAATATTCTCATGTACTACGTCATTACACCGTTCCCGTTAGAGCCAGGCCAGACTATGCTCTATACCGATCCATGGTTGCGAGGGTCGCGATGAGATAACTGAACAGCCCATCTTTATTTCACGTCAATCTCACGTCCATTGTATCTATGACTTATTAGGTAATTAGAAAAACGACGGGATAGAGTTTTATTTATACTCGTTCCTTGTGTACCTTATCCATCAAATAATTCACTGTAATCAGTTATGACCAGTTAAAACAAGCGGTTGCCATGAAAGATATGCCCACATTTTGCAAGAAATGGATGGGGAAAAGGTAAACTCAATAGGGCTTATCCTCTCATTTAAGTTTCATCAGATTTGGACAACAATGTTAGCCCCCTGGAGAGCCTCAAAATCCGTACATATTTCAAATTTTGCGTGAAAAGCAGGGCTATAGCTCTAGAATGTAAGGTCTGATGCTACCAAAGCCGAACTCATCCAAGAACTTTTGATCCTTAACACACAGTTTAAGTTTCACCACGAAAGGTCCACAAACTTCATTCATAATTCACATTTTATGTAAAAGGCAGGGGAACATGCGTAAGGAAATTGAACTCGCCCAAGAGCTAGTGATGGTCGTTTTAAGTGTCATCTAAATCGAATAAAATTGAGACTTCTAGATGGTCCACAACTTGGGTATTACATGCTTTTATTATACTATTTCCGTAAAGGGGAGTGGTTATTTGACGGGGAAGTTTCGGTCCGATTTTGAGGAAATAATTATGGTGTAACGGTGGTATATTTGAACAGTTTTGAAAATTGTGACCTCTAGGGGGCTAAAAACGTGATATTTCGTACAATCAGGGGATCATAATCCAGAAAGTTACACGGTCCAATACGCGCCAATATCGAAAGGAACCCAGATCTTTCGGATATAATTATAAATATATATTTTAAGTTTCATAAAAATTGGATAAAAAAAATTCGAAACCCTGGATGGTCTACAACCTGGGTATTACGGTCAGATATAAATATTAAAGCCACCGGCAGATTTCGTCAAGATCACGAGATGTAGGCCTAAACAGCATGTGATTGTTGCCGAAGATTGTGAGTTAGGGTAAGGGCTAGATCTTGGGTTAGGGTTGGCGCTAGCCCTGCTTACATCTCGTGACCTTGGCGAAATCTGCAGGTGGCCTTAAAATTTAGATCAAACCTGAGTAGTACATGCTTTTAGGGGAGTTCGGGCAATTCGGTCCGATTTTCAGGAAATGCAAACTCAATCGGAATTATGGTGTAACGGTGATTCGAACGTCTTTTAAATCGGGTGAAAAATTGTAACCCCAAGAGGAACCACAGGCTAAAAACGCCTTTTTCCGTACAATCAGAGGCTTTAATCCCGGAAGTTACAATCCGATATGCACGAATATGGAAAGGAAACAAATATGTATTTCAAGTTTCATCAAAATCTGATGAAAATTGTGACCTCTAAAGTGTCCATAAGCTAACAATATGATTTTCGTACACTCAGAGTTGATACATGCAAGTTTCGAAAGGAACCGAGACCTTTGGGCGATAGATCGGATAAAAATTGTGTCCTGATATAATTGAACGGCATATACAATCAAATGAAAACTGTTACTTCTACAAGGCCCACAAACTAAAATGTGATTGTTCGTACAATCAGGGGCCACAATCCAGGAAGTGATGGTCCCATATGCGCCAATATCGAAAGGAATCGAGATCTTTTGGCAATAAATATACACTGTAAGTTTCATCAAAATCGTATAAAACCGGACTCCGGAGAGCTTCGTCTAAGGACCTAGGATGATACCCCCCCCCCCTCTCCGATCAAGAATTGCTTCCGCCGGTCCCGAGAGCTCACACTGCACTGGGGTACCATCCCCATACCTCTTAAAGGTTTAGTTCAGACGGGCCTACCAATGATAATTTTTAATACTTATTCATAGTTTGTTACATTCGGAAAAACAAAATTAAATGTAACACTTACCCTTTTCCGTAACTTCAAGAGTAGAAATGTGCATGAAAAAAAAATGGTACTCATTAATCTTCAAAGATGTGGTAATCATAGAATACATGTATAACGTATGTCAAATTCATCGTCTACACGTCATTCAAATGTTATGCTAAAATATTGTCAATTTATTCGATGACTCACATGAATACAATCGTCATTAATAATTACACAAGGTTACACTTAACTATACGAAGGCCCATTATAACCAAAAAGATATTAATCCGTTTGAACGAGTTAGTATCTCCTTTGGACGAATTAATTATATAAACGAGATAATTAATTCGTTCAAACGAGATACTGATTACTAATTCGTTCAAACGAGATAATTAATTTGTTCAAACGAGATAGTATCTCGTTCAAACGAGATAGTAACTCGTTCAAATGAGATACAAACCCGTTCAAACGAGATACTAACCCGTTCAAACGAGATACTAACTCGTTCAAACGAGATACTAACTCGTTCAAACGAGATAATTAATTCATTCAAATGAGATACTAACTCGTTCAAAGAGATTAATTTATTTTTTTAATTTTTTATTTTGGGGGGGGGGGGGCACTTTTTTAATTTCAATTGTTATTTTTATTTTCTTATTTTTTTTTTGTATTTTTATTTTATATTTTTTTGAAAAATGAGTTACTAGTGTAGGCTCATTTGTAATTTCGTGTCATTTTTTGGTAAAAGCAAAAACTCTGTTGATTCTGAAAGAAGCTATCATACGTTTTAAAAAAAAATAGGGTGCCATTTTTTTTTCACGTTCTAGAGGTCCGAAATCAAAGATGGCGTCCAATAATTCAATATCTTCGCTAGTACACACGATATGATGCCAAACAAAGTATCTAAATATAGGTTTTCCGACACAAGAAAACCAATGGAACCATCAAATTTCGCTAAAGTTGTGATTTACAGGCCTAATTTCAAGATTGCGTACAAAATGGCCGCCATTTACACTAAATTCTGCTTATTTCGATACACTTGTCCATACAATGATATTGGAAATAGATGTACAAACAAGATATCTGATTAAAATATTGTTATGGTCAAGTGGTATGAACAAGTCCTAAACAAAACTATATAACTATTGTGGAACCACGTTAGTTATTGTTTAGTGTCATTCTATGAACGAAAAAAGTGCAAAAAGTCACATGGTGTATAGGTGTAGTTTTAGCAACGGACATCAAACGTCTTCACACTCCTCATGTATCCAGATTTACATCAGCACTTGATCAGGTGCAGTATTGCCTCAGGAGCTGGTGGATTCAAACATCGAACGGGGGAGAAGTGACTTTAACCTGCGTCAAATGTCCAACCAAATTCAGCGGGTGCTCGGAGGCATGGGTGATTTTTATCAGCTTTCTTCCAAACCATGGCTATGTAGTGTGCACGCCGAATATGTAAGTCCAGTGAACCAGAAGTTGATGGAAGGTTTTCTCCTTCGGCTGCACGAATTGAAAAGAGAAACCATGCAGCGAAGCTCTTTCGCTGTTTTGTGGATTTTTGATCGATACAGCACACAAACAAAACGTTCCAGCTGAGAGCATACATCAGACGGCAGATCGTTGTCATTTCCAAGCATTGCTAGTGCATCCAGGATCCCATCGTCACAAGACATGGATGCCTTGAAGCACCAGTCTTTGGTTCTGACAGCAACTATACCAGACACATCGGAGCCTGTCAGAGCATGAAGACCCGACAGCGCAGAAGCGCGCTTTTGTCCTAAGCTTTTGTATATATTACAGACAGATATGTTCCTTTTCAGCCTGCCCTTTCCAGTGAGAAACGGGCAATGGTGGATACATGTGGACAACTAGCAACAAGACATCTGTATCTGGAGAACTGACCACAAGTTCTGCATCATGGGGAGCACTTACCACATGCAGTATGAGCAATGTGTCTGCCTCTTCTTGGCTGTGAGTGAGAAGCGAGTCTGGAATATCAGCATTGCCCTTGGTTTGTGTTCCTGAGGTCACCATAAATTTCTTCAGTCTGTTGTTTGAGCTCCTGCTGTGGCATTCAACCTTGTCGGTGAGCTCTGCTTTGGTCCGGATATCCGAGAGAAACTCCTTCAGAGAACTATTCTTGATTAAAGTGGTGTCCTTCACATGGTAATATGTTGACTTTCCCTTGGTCCTCATCTTTTCCTTGAGTGATTTTTTCATATACCTGTCAAACACCAATCTGACCTCATCATGTTACAGACTATCGCCAGAAAGGAGTCTGCAAAATCTTGACACGTCTTTATTTGGTCGATCTTGGTAACCGAGTTTACCACAGTCATTCCATCGATGATGACTACTCGATATGCTGA